GGCCAAACTGTAACAAAAAATAGCCAGGTGTTGTGGTGGGCACCTGTAGTCCCAGCTACTTGGGAGGCTGAGGCAAGAGAATCACCTAAGTCCAAGAGCTGGAGGTTGCTGTGAGCTGTGACGCCACAGCACTCCACTACGGTTGACAAAGTGAGACTCTGTCTCTAAAAAACAAAAAGAAAGAAAAGAAAAAAAACCTAAATAAGCCAAAAGATATTCTCTGTTCATGGATTGGAAGCAATGGAATATTATTCAGCCATAAAAAAGAATGAAGTATTAATATACATTATAGTATACAGGAACCTTGAAAACATTATACTAAGAGAAAGAAGCCAGAAACAATAGGCCACTTATCCTGTGACTCTCCTTACATGAACTATCTACACTTGACAAATTGATAGAGACAGAAAGCAGATTAGCATTTGCCAGGGGCTAGGTAGAGGATGTAATGGGCTATGACTGCTGGTGGGCATGAGGTTTCCTTTCAGGGTGGTGAAAAAGTTCTGGAACTAGATAGTGGTGATGGTTGCACACCATTGTGAATGTACATAAATGCCACCAAATTGCACATTTAAAAATGGTAAACTTTATGTTATGTGTATTTTACAACAATAAAATAGATAAGTAAGGATACACAAGACTTTTACAACACATTTTGGCACATACAAAACATTGTAGCCAACAAGTGCAGAATACATTTTCTTTCAAGTTCACTGGAAATGTTTACTAAAATTGATCTCTCTTTGGGCAAAACTCAATAAATGGCAAAGAAATGAGATCATACTGGGTAAATTACCTGCTTTAAAATGTAAACATAATGATGATGATGATGATGATGATGAGCAAGCAAAAGACATGTCCCCAGATCATCCCAAAGCCCAAGCAAGGTGCACGATTTGGGAGCTCCAAGTTCGCAGTTCTTCCTCTCTCTCCTACTCACGTTTGGATCAACAGGACCTCCCAGAATGCCCTGGCCCTTGGACTTCTCCTCACAAATTCAACCTCCCAGCAGAAACACATCACAGCCAGTCTGACCACAGCCCCATTGCAAGGCCTGGGGAACCCTCTCCCAAAGCCCATCTCCTTGCCCAAAGTAGAGGCTGGATGGGCCTGGATACTTCCCAGGCCATCATCCAGGTAGTGAAACTTTGTCACTGTCTTTGATTCCATAGAAACTGGTCCCTTTCCCACATGTCTGTACAGCCCTGAGGTCAGAACAATGCTAGTCCTTTAAAGCTCACCCAGAAGCAGAATAGGGCAGGTCAAGCAGAAAGAAAGCAGATATCATCCTTTAGGGAATGGGAAGGGCTGGCCAAAAGTCCTATGAACAGGGAAACTGTTGTCACTATTTGCAAATTGAGGCTAAACCTCAGTTACACTTAGTATTTCCTTAAGGTTCTTGTGTGAGACTCTGCCACCACCTGAGAAAGAGCAGACCTCCATGGCCTTAAGGATTGCATCAAAACCCCTGGTCTGTCCCACCAGTCCTACGTCACTCAACCCCCACCCACCTTGCCAGCAACTCCTGCAGCTGCTCTTCAAGTAACTCAAGGCTGGAAGGAAATTAAGTCTTTCCTGAAAAGCAAGTAATCTTGGCCTCTCCTGGAATGACTGCCCCCCTCCCCTCAATCTGCCTTATCTTTGATGGTTCTCCCTCCCTCACCCAACCACCAGTCTATTAAGAGTGGTACAGCCTGTGAAGCCAAAATACCTCTTGAATTTCTCTCCTTAACCCCATCTCCAGTTCTAATCCAAGCTACCACCTTCTCCTAGCTGGAGGTTGACAATCACCGTTCTCTGACATCCTCCCCTTCCAGTGCATCCCAGGCTCATTCGCTGACCTATCATCACCAGCATTTGCACCACCTCTAAAATCCCTATTTCAAGTACATACTCCCAATGCCTGTCTCTTGCCCTTCCACTCATTCTCCAGAACCCTTGTTCCAACAACCTTTTGAGCTTCTGTTGAGATCCAAATCAAATGATCTCATATTCTTGTTTATCCAGTCTAGATTCTAGGCTCTATCATTAGCTACTTCCCTGAAAACACCTCTTTGCCCTTTCTGCTTTTGTTATATTTGCCTAGAAAAACTCAGCCCATCCATAGACTCAGTATCTTGTCTCACCTCAGTGAGAGGATCACTTAAGGCCATGTGGGAGGCAGACAAGCTAAATTCCTCATGGATCTTCCAACTCAAGGTAAGGTGCCCAGTCAGGGGAATGTGTATGTGACTATTCCTATATGGGGAAATTAGCAGTGCAGGAGAGCTGAGGCCATCAACTAGTAGCTTAAGCTAGAGAAGCTGAGATGTCTGCCTGAGGAGATGAGACTTGCTCTCCCCTCTCTCTTCTGGTTGCACCATTATCTGGGCACTTCAGATGTTCCATTACCCTATGTCCTTGCTTACCCTTTACTCAACCTTCCTGGGGGCTGTAACGTCTCCTCTCTCATTCTTAACCTTGACTGCTGAGCATTCTTGCACATATACTCTGTTATGTACCCAATAAAAAGATTCCAAGAAACCGGACAGGTGCTGCATTGTTTTCATGCTGCCACCAGGCACATGAAACAGTGTATGCCCATACAGGCTTCCAGTTTTATGCACTAAGTTTGGTGTAAGTTTTGTGATTTCCTCAGTACCATCTCCCTTGCTGGCCACTATCCCAAGTTGGGGTCCACTAGATGCCCAAAGAGGCCAGGAATTTGAGACCGGCCTGAGCAACACAGTAAGATGGCACACACCTGTAGTCTCAGCAACTCAGGCAGCTAAGGCACAAGGATTGCTGAGCCCAGGAGTTTGAGGCCACAATGAACTATGATTTCACTCCAATACGGGGGACAGAGCAAGACCCTGTCTTTAAGAAGAAATAAGAAAACCCAGTCTTGATTAAAAGCAAACCCAACTAGTTTCCTTAACTGTACCTGGATCCAAGCCCAACCAAACAAGCTTAGAGAATACATAGTAGTACTAACTAAACCTGTTTTATTTCCATGACAACAACCAAATGGACATCAAGACCTCCCAAAAATGCTACCACATTTTCCTAGTATGTTTGCTCTTCATTTTCCAAAATGACTATTGCACACGTTTTTCTTTTCCTTAAGTCTCAACACTCCCCATAGTGGACACTGTGGTTCTCTCCTCAACATCCTTTTCCCATTATATGTCAGCTGTGAGGTTTAAGTAGGGAAGAATGACCTCACCTTCTAGTCCAGGACTAGGCCCTGGGTCACCTCATTCCTCTTGCGGCAGAGGTTGATTCAAGCAACCTAAGCTTTTTCTAGTTGTCCCAGGGCACACTCTGGGCCAAAAAGACCAGTTCAGAAAAATGGTTGGTATATGACCCATTTGGAATCAAGGGTATCTTAAGGATACTTTCTGGAAGCTTCTGTAGTAGAAGCCCTCGTGGCTCCAACTTCTCTGAGGGTACTGCAGGTACCGACCCTTCCTCTGCAGTAGGCAATGAGATGAGACTAGAAGCCTATAATCGCTGCATCTATGGGGCCACCTTAGGAAGGAGGCTTGTGATGAAATTGACATCACTGTCAGAAGAGAAATGACAAGAAAATAGACCATCTCTGACTTGGATGAGAGGCTGAATCAAACCTACCCTGGACCCTGCCTGACCGTACACTTCTTAATCCATATCTGCTATTTTTAAAGCTGTTTGGCTTTATGTTTTCTGTTACCTTCCAACCAAACCCATCCTGAGTGATCAGCCCCCTTCCTATCTTCCCTGTGGGCTCAGGACCTCACTTTATGTTTTGTGGTAGAAGTAGAAGCCCTCAGACAAGAGGCCCTCATCCTCCTGCCTCAAACACCACCACCCACTGCAGCACACCCATCCTCTAGCCCCCTTCTTTATGGGGTAACTGCTCCCCATTCCCATATAAGGCCACTCTCCACCTGGGCTCTGATTCTCATCTCAAGGGAAGCTTCCACTATCCCTTCTCTGTCCTGTAGCATCAGTTTCTCTTTGTCTGTTGGGTTGGTCCCAGTGGCCCATGTGCCCTCCCTAATCAGATTTTAAAACAATCCCTCCTAGGCCCCTCTAGCAACTGGTTCATTTCAGTCCCCACTCAAAACCAAATATCTGAAAGGAGCTGTTCACAGCCTTGACATCCTACCTCCCATCCTCATCTCCACTACCTCAACCTGGCATTTGTCCCATCCACTCCACCTAAAGTGCACATATATAGGTTTCCAGTGACCTTGACCATCCCACCAATGGCTCATGGCTTTAAAATCCCTCAGGATAATCCTTGTGTGGCTCATAAGCATGGTGATTGGGTCTTCACATGCTTATGTAAGATGTGCCTCCCTCAAACATTGTTATGATGTCAGCACATTACCTGTCTGACATGAAAAAGATTAAAAAATAAATGAATCTCCTTAAGATGACAGTGACCACCCCACCCCATCTGTCTCCAGCCCACACACAAGACTGGCCCATTCATCCCACCACCTCCCTGTCCTGCCACATTGATGTCCACAGTCATCCCAAACACACATGGCAAATGAGACTCGAGTCTGTCTCTCCCATTCACCCCACACACACAGAGAGAAGTTTCTTCCTCATCCCAGGAAAGGGCATCTAGCCAGCCGGATGCTACAGCCATCCCAACTCCTCACTTTCACTAACAGACCCCATGAGGGCATTCTATCATATCACCTCAGAAGGCCTCCTTCATCAGTCCTTTCTCTCCAGGTCACCATCACCTCCCTCCTGGTCACAAGCCAACACCTACTATGGAAACAGTTTTGTGGCTTCTCAAAAACTTAAACATAGAATGACCACATATGTGACCCAGTAAGTCCATTCCTAGATCTAGACTGCAAAGAACTGAAAACAGGTGTTCAGACAGAAACTTGTACATGAACATCCACAGCTGTGCTGTCCACGACAGCCCTGGTAGAAACTGGCTTCACTGGACCCTGTGCCAGGAATGCTTTGCCAGATCTTTCTGTGGCTGGCTTCGGTCACTCCTCAGATTCCTCCCTAAACCTTGGAGGCCTTCCTTCACCCCCAGCTGCCATTACACCTTCCTGTTTATCTCTGTCACAGATCTATTACTACATATGACCAGTTTTCACTTGAATACAGTCCAACTCCTCTAACTAGAAGTTAGATGCCCTCGGACAGTGTTCCCTTCCCACCTTGTTCATAGAACACAGAAGGCACTCAGCAGACAAGAGTCCAAGTGCCCCTCCTACAGAAGGCCTTCCTAATTTCTCAGCCATTCTGCTCCCATCTGAAGGGCATGGGCTGATAGCCTCTGGAGGCCCCTTTTTGCCTCCCTATCTGGGCAGAGCTGTTTCTGAGGCCTGGCAAGGCCTGTGATCCTGAGATCCACCACCCACCAGATACTTGGCTCCTATCTGAATGGGGGAATTGGGTGAGGAAGAGCTACAAAGCATCAGGGTCCTCCAAAAGCTCATAGGAACTGTAACCACCAGGCTGTGGGCAAAGCACATTATATGTAGAGCTTCAAGATGGGGAAATAGGCTTAGTGAGGTAAATCACTTGCCCTATGCCACACAGCCTTTATAGAAAGAAATACAGAGAACACTGACCCAGAAGCCTTGCTCCTGATGGGTGAGCCACACTGCCCAGGAATGGTTCTATCCCGCCCACTTCTGATTTATGAAGCCCTGATGTTCCTCCTCAACTGTGGCACTCACGTGGGTCCAGGGCCAGCAAAGGGCACCAAGCTCAGGGTGTTCTCAGCCTGGGGGTTGGTTCCCTGAATAGTGTCTGCCGCCCTTGTTAACAGTTCTTAGCCATGTGGAGGGACCAGGGCTGGCACAGTAGTGACTGGGCCTGAAATTGCCCCCAGGCCTAGCTAAGGGTGGGGGTAGGGAGTGGAGGGGGCATGTCTATGCTCCTTTCAAGGCAAGGTAGCAACACCTGCTCTCAGTGCAAGCGGAGGGAATAACCTGGAGGAATATCAGTCTGTTCATGGGCTTTAGCACTAGTGACATTCACATGGAATACATGAGTCTTCTCTCCTGTTCCAGACTCAGGCCACCAGCCCAGGCAGACTTAGCCAAAGTTGTCATACATTTGTCTTCTTGATGAGAGCACCGAGGCTCCAGCCTTCCCCAGGCCAGGTGCCCCATGTGCCCGCAAACCCAGCACTCTCTGCTCCTCTTTCCCGTGCCCTCACAGGCTGCCAGCATACCTGGCCTTATTGGGCCTTCGGGTTCACCATCATTTGAATTTTAATATGAATAATAAGTACTACTCTTATTTTCATGTACTAACATTATTCATAATAAAATTCTTACTAGATGCCAGACCCAGACACTCAGGGTTGTCTTCATTAGCCTTTCTCAGTCTTGCCCATGACATTTGTGAGGAAATCCTTATTCATCCCCTCAAGTATGAGAACCTAAGACTCAGAGAGGGCCAGTGACTTGTGCAGGGTCACAAGGAGGCAAAAGTAAGACCTGAAGTCCTACTGTGGTAGAATGTCCATTCCAGCTCCTTCTTCTACTTCACATCCCCTTGACCTTCCTGGGTAAGTCTGAAATCAGACACTGGCCTGTTGTCCCCCTAAGTCACTAAAATATCTCCAAAGTGGGGGATCCGACCACCCTGGGTGAGCAATGAGAGGAAGTGATTGGGTGGGGCCAGATGGTGTGATGGGGGACACAGAGGTGACATGGTGATGGGTGGTCTAGGCATGCATACCACTAGCTACACTTACCACCTGAGGGAAGGCAAAGAGCCCAGAGAGGGGTCCCGGAGCAGACAGAAGGAAGAAGAAGGGGTTATTGAGCCTCAAGAAGCACTGAGACAACCCAGGACCTGGCCCAGACTCAGCCTTGTAGCCTGGGGCACCTACACCTGTCGCTTCCCTTACTGGCCTAGTTGGGGCTGACGTGTGGGGCTGCCTGAAGTTTGGTGTTTCAACACCCCACATACAGGCTTGCAGGACAAAGTGGAAGGGTTACATGATCTTTTAGACATGAGTCCATGTCTGGCATGGACTTGACTAGGGGCACACATCTTGTTTAGCTCATCTAAACTCTTCAACTGTGCCTCAACTATTCTCAATGCCCTCCTTGGGGGCAGGGACACAGGTAGATAAAACTAGAGCAGGGCCAAATCTAGCCAAGCTGTCCAACACCCAGGTCTGCTACCAGAAGCACTATCATTCAGTGAGAGGTCTCATGAAGTAGTTGGATCAGGGGCAGCCCTCAGCTGACTCAGGGCTGGTGAGTGACAAGACGCCCCCCTCCATTCCTCCCCAACTCACATGTCCATGCAGGTCTGTGTTGAGCAGCATCAGGGCACAGGTGAGTGTGTGGATCCCATCTAAATCAGAGACAGTGGCACTCTCAGTGTGAGGACCCAACTCATTCCCACTTTCAGCCACCCATCTGTCTCCTGATAGAGCCAGCCTGGCAACCTTGGAAACAGGAAGAGGCCAGCCACCTGCCAAACATACCTCACAGCCCAGGGCCTGCATGTTGCTGCCTGCCAACCCCCACTGCAGCACCAGAGTCACTGGCCACTGCCTGCCCCAGGTCAGTGGAGTAGGATGGGCTATTCCCTGACCACTGACCCCTGTGGCCAAACCCACTTTGAACCTGACCCAGGAGTATCTCTGGCTCCTAGGCCATGTCCCTGCACTGGCTTGTCTCCTGCAATAACAGACCTAGTTGCCCAGTTCCTGAGACTTGAGTCCATCCATTCATCATGTCCTGCCCCTAAGAGGATCACTTCCTAGACCCCCACCACACCAAGAATCAGCATTATGACAGATACCAAGGATAATGAAGAGATAAAAAACCAAGTCCCTACAGTGGAGGACTCTCAGGGCTGGAAGGGCAATGGGCAGTACATTTGGAAGCTCACTTTCATTCCATGTGCTGTAGTTTATTCACTTAACAGTTATTGAGCACTTACTGTATATGCCAGAGAGGACAAACCTTCTGGCCCTGGCAGCAGGACAGAAGTGCCAGGTGGACCAGAAGTGGGAGGAAGCCAGGATCTAGCTGGGAGGGACTGGGTGGGTCGGGTGCAGCAGGGCAGGTGGCCATACCTTCTGAGGTGCTGTCATCAGGGTTGCACTGGCAGTACCGGCGTGAGAAGTGTGTAAGGACCCGCTCACGCTCTTGAGTCTCCCCCATTAGTGGGAAAGTCTTCAGGAATGTTCTAGAAGGCAATTCAAGGCTGCTGAGTGTGGTCTGGCTCCCCACCCAGGGTAGAAGGCCCATACACACACACACACACACACACACACACACTCCTGCCCCAGGGGCCAGGCTCTAGTGCCCCAGCATATGAGTCTGGATGCCCCTCCAGGCCTGAGGAGACCTCAAGCCCCCAGGATGGTCTCTGGAGTACTTTAGAGTTTCAGAGTTTCAGTCCTCATCACCCTCCAGGGGACAGATTGTGAGGAGTAAAGCCAGATGAACACCTCAATGCCAGCACCAGTTCCTCTTTGGGATAAATGACCACTCCTTATACCTGGGCCCAGCTGTCCACACCTGTCCCTCAGAGTGCTCTTTCCCCTCACCTCCTTCCCCCCAAGTCCTCCATGGGCTGCCTGCTAAGCCTTGGGGCCCCACCTCAAGACTAAGCTTCCACCAAGTCTCTAAGGTTTGTTCTTCACCCTCGAACTCAATTCCTCCTCCCCTACCCTCATTATATCCCCAGGACACCTGCAATAGCCTCCAACAGGTCCACATCTTACTCCCCCAGTACATGCTCCCTGCAGACACCAAGTGGTCCCTCTAAACACACATGCAGTGAAGACACACTGCTTTAAACCTGTCACTGGCTCCTCAGAGCCCCCAGAATAGCACCCCAGGTACTCACAGCATGGCCCTCTTTACTGCCCTGACTGCCATCCCATCCCTCCACCCACCAGTTGCCTCCTCACACCATCTTCACGCCCAGGACAGGACAGATGTTTCCTTGCTCAGCACCTTGGAGCAGGCTAGCCCCCCACCACAACCAAGCAGCTCTGATCCCCCTTGAGGCCCAATTTAAAGGTCATCTGCCTCTCAGGGGCCCTGACAACTGATCCCAAAACCAGAGGGGCTGTGAGATGGGGCCAGGCCACTTACCCAGGGCCTGGGCACACCCCTTCCCTTGTGAAAGGAAACCGCAAGCTGAGCAGGTTTGTGCCTCCCCCTGGTTTGTTCCTAATGTTGCAAGGGTTCATTTGGCTTTGGCCTAAGGTGGCTATTATGCCCACTTTGCTGTCTTCTCTCCCTGCTGCCCCCTAAGGCACATGGGACATGCCAGCCACATCTTGGCCAACCCTTACCCCCTGAGGATTCCCAAGACATCCAAACCTGCACACCGCACCCTTGAAGATAGGAGTGTACAAAAGCACTCTTCTATCTGACATCTAGTTTTCCTCTTTTCCCTGTCCCTCTTCCTCCTTCCCTTATCCTGTTTGTCCCCAGCCCACTCCCTCCCTCTTCTGCTTATTCTCCACCAGTACCTTCTCAAATCCATACCCCAGCTCAGCCTTAGTCTGTCCTCCCTGTGAGCCACCCGTCCCAGCTCCATTCCTCAGCCCAAACTCCCCTTCCCCAAGCCCCAGTCCTGCACAGCCTCCAAACCCTAGCTGTCACACCTACCCTCTCTCCTGCATCTTGGCACTCCAGCCCCCACTCTACTCCTATGCAGTCTCTCACTTTGACCTATCCTCTATGGCCTTTCCTCTGCTTAACCTCAGGCCTTGTCCTCTCCCACCTGGCCCTCTTCAGAAGCCTGCATGCCTCTGGATCAAAGGCCATCAGCACACTGGGACCAGCACTGCCTCCCATAACATTGCTTTACAGCCAGCATCTCTTGTGGCTCCCCAGTGCCTGTGCATTGGAGTCTCACTAATTGGGCTGGCTTTCAAGGCCATCCAGCCCAGCATCCACACCCCTGATCGTGACCTGACCCACTGAGCACTTTCTTTGACCAATCTTTCTCATTCTGCCGCAATCTTCAAGACTCAGCTCAGGACAGAGTAGCTTACAGCACACCAAACGGTCCACTGGAAACAATGAATTTTCTTAAGCTATCAGAAAACTGCTGAGAAAACAAAGACCAAAAGGGCCAAGATTGTGGAGAAAAGAGAACCAACTTTCTGCAGCTGCTTTTTCCCTGAGGGCACTGCTACTTAGGGACACAGGCAAGAGGCTGGACACTGGGCTGCTCCCCCAGGCTGAAGAGACAAACCTGGAGATTTGTACATTCATCTTTGAGATATTTGCCAAATTTCAGAGATGGGTAAAAAGCTAAACAGAAAGCCTCAGAAAAGTGGAAGGATTTGGGGGGGGGCAGTATTGTTGCACTGAGGAGGCAAAATTAGGTTTCAGAACCCACAAAAGGGTTTGCTCCAGTGACCATACCAGGCTCCCAGTAGTAAACTCTGAGGACTTTCCCCTATGATCAGAGCCAATCCTGGACTGTACCAAATGTTAGTGTAGGCTCTCTTCAGCTCAGCCCCGGTTGAGGACCACATCCTCATACCTCTTTCTAACTGCCTTGCAAAGAACAATGTAAATCCTCTCTGGAGGAATGTATAATAACCTAAACCTACTACAATTCTATACAAAGTATATATCATATAATAAAAAAAGTATTAAGCATATGAAGAGACAGGATATCTGCTGGAAAATCAATAGAAAAAAGACAATAGGAAGAAGTACAGCTGATTTGGATGATACAGATATGGGAGTTAGCAGCAAGGACTTTACAACTAATATTTTCAAGAAAAGAGAGGGAAACATGGAGAAAATCAGTGAAAAGATGGGGAATTCCTCAGAGAATTAGAATCCATTAAAAATTTTTAATAAAATGGAAATTCTAGAACTTATAGAAAAAATATAACAGAAAGTTAAAACTCAGTTAATGGGATTAATGGCATACTAGACACAGAAAAGGGGTAAGTGAACTGATTTCAGATCAATAGAACATACTTCAACTGAAGTAGAGGGGAAAAAATGGGACACAGTAAAAACCTGTCATATGCATGGACCACCCCGCCCCTTAGCTTAGAGACTACTGTCCATCTCTCCTAGGGCCTGGCCTGGTGTATCCCCAGCTGGCCTCTGCCACCAGAGCCTGCTAGACCCTTGGCTACATTTACCCTTTCCACCCTTCCTGCTCCCTGGGACCTGCACCTGGCTGAACTGAAGTCTACTCCTGGGGTTCAAACGCCAACTGACCTGAGATCAAATCTCATTTTATCATCTCCTCCCTCAATGCCTATGGGGAGGTCTTCACCTCTCTGGCCCATAGTTTCTTCATTTGAAAAATAAGAGTGGGCTCGGCGCCTATAGCTCAACCGGCTAAGGCGCCAGCCACATACACCTAAGGTGGCGGGTTCGAATCCCCAGCCCGGACCCGCCAAACAACAATGACGGCTGCAACCAAAAAATAGCCGGGCGTTGTGGCGGGCGCCTGTGGTCCCAGCTACTTGGGAGGCGGAGGCAGGAGACTCGCTTGAGCCCAGGAGTTGGAGGTTGCTGTGAGCTGTAATGCCATGGCACTCTGCCCAGGGGGACAGCTTGAGGCTCTGTCTCAAAAAAAAAAAAAAAAGAAAAAGAAAAATAAGAGTGATGGGCAGTGCCTGTGGCTCAGTGAGTAGGGTGCTGGCCCCATATACCAAGGGTGGCGGGTTCAAACCCAGCCCCAGCCAAACTGCAACCAAAAAATAGCCAGGCATTGTAGTGGGCACCTGTAGTCCGAGCTACTTGCAAGGCTGAGGCAAGAGAATCACTTAAGCCCAGGAGTTGGTGGCTGCTGTGAGCTGTGTGACGCCACAGCACTCTACCAAGGGCAACAAAGTGAGACTCTGTCTCTACAAAAAAAAGAAAAATAGGAGTCATGGTGCCTCCCTTACAGGGGTGCTGTGAGGCTGAAGTAAGCAGGGCATGTGAAGACCTATAGCATCAGGCCAGCAGGAAGTGCAGGAAGTGCCCACTACAGGCAAGTCCTTTGCCTCTTCTCTCCTAAAGAGTCAAAACCACATTTCCACTTTCATATCCTCAGCTCCTACCATGTAGGTGGTACTCACTGAGTTGCTGGACTGCTGCTGCTCTTACAACCCCTTCCCACAGCCTCAGCAGAGGGGTCAAGAGACTTGCCCAAGTTTGCACAGCAAGTCTATGGCAGAGCTGGCATGAGATTCAGATATGCAGCCTATGTGACCTATGGGCACTGCCCTGTCCCAACCCCACTGACCTGAGCGCTCGGTCCAGAGTCAGGCCTGAGAAGTCGAAGAAACTGAGGTACTCCCCAGCCACCAGCCTGCTGAACTCATTGCTGCCAGGAGAGCACAAGATATCAGTTAGAAGCAGGGCCCAGCCCAAGGATGATAGACTAATAGAGAGAACTCAGGGAGTAGGCCCCAGGGAACTCTGACTCACCTACCCAGACCTGTCCAACCCCTAGACTTTCCTCCCCTTGGGCTTCCTGGAGGAGGTATATCTCAGCCAACACAGGAAAGTAAGAGCCAGCCAGGTGAAGGGAGTAGGAAATGGCATAATGCGGTGTCCTCACATGAAAACTGCACATATCCAGGAAGCTACCGGCAGGGCCGCGTAGCTAGAGAGATGATATAGGGGGCAGCACCTGAGGGCCACAGGACTTGATTCTGGACTTGAGGCAGGGATGGTCAGATCTGCATTTTGGAATACTCCCCCTGCTGAGTGGAGAGCCAGTGGGAAGTTGCAGTAGTAGCTCTGAGAGAGATAGAATGGGTGGGGAGGAGAGATTTAGGAGGCAGAATCCACAGACATGGAGATGGAATGGGTGTGGGGCATGACTGAGAAAGTGGTCCCCTGGGGATATCAGATCCCAGGACAACAGATGGGGCCGAATGCAACCCTGTGATACACATCAGTCTACAGCCAATGACTTAGGGGGGAGGGGAGGCTATGTAAGAGGAGGGTGCACAGACAGGCAGCTAGCCCAGAGGCCCATCCACAGTGGATCAAGGAAGGAGAGCCAGCAAAGGAGTCTGAGAAACAGCAGCCAGACAGGTGGAACATGTGGTACTGCAGGCTGACAAAGTGTTTCAAGAGGACAGGCATGAAGAATTCTTCTCAAAATTAGAACGAATTCCCACCTGATTCTAATTAAGCCTCAAAAGCTCCCTCCCATTTACAGGACCCATGGGAAATAAAGAAACACATTAAATAACACTGTAAGGATACCACATCCAGAATGTGGAAAATTCTTCAGGACAAATGGCTCTGTTTCTTCAACAAATACCTGGTATTTAAAATGAGAAAGGGACTATTGGACTGTTACTGAGTAAAAGAGACTTAAGAGACATATTGGTCAAATGCAATGTGTGGATCTTGTTGGATCTTGATTTGAACCAATCAACATTTTTGAGACAATCAGAGAAAATTAAATAGATAATGAATGTTGAAGATACTAAGAAATTTTTAGTCTGGGCACAGTGGCTCATGCCTGTAATCCTAGCACTCTGGGAGACCGAGACAAGTAGATCGCCTGACCTCCCGAGTTTGAGGCCAGCCTGAGCTAGAGTGAGACCCTGTCTCTAAAACTAGCTGGGCATTTTGGCGGGCGCCTATAGTCCCAGCTACTCAGGAGACTGAGACAAGAGAATTGCTTGAGCCCAAGAGTTTAAGGTTGCTGTGAGCTATGACGCCACAGCACTCTACCGAGAGTGACAAAGTGAGATTCTGTCTCAAAGAAAAAAAGAGATAGTAAGGAATTTTTGTTAATTCTACATGGAATTATAATTATGTAAAAAAAATTCCTTATCAGTTAGAGATAACACAAAAGTATTTATGGATCAAATGGCAAATGTCTGAAATATACATTAAAATATTCCAGAAAATGGTGGGGTGCTATGGGAAATAGATGAAACAAGAATGAAGAACTGGTAACCTTGAAGCTGAGTAATGGATATATGGAGGTAATATTTTCTCTGTTTTTGTGTGTTTGAAAATTTTATTTAATTTCAATAAATTTATTTATTTATTTATTCAATAAAAAGTTGAATTAAAAAGGAGTGGCTAGGATGTCAGGGTGATCTGGCTTCGACATCTGTCACCCCATCGCCATTGATGGCCAGGGTTGACTCAGCTGATCTAGCTGGCTAGGTGGGTGTCCCTCACCGCTCCAAGTGCATCCCTCCTGACCCTGTGCACTCAGTCGAAGAGGACAACCTTCCCTGATAGAGGAGGACCGTTCTTCAGTCAAGGGTATACGAGTAACTGCGCTCCCCTGCTAGAACCTCCAAAAACAAAAAGGAGTGGCCAGTCCTGTCAATGTCACTGAAGGGGGTAAGGTGAGGTCTGGCTGAGTAGCAGCCACCAGATTCAAAGACACGGGCTGCTGGTGACCTTGGCAAAGAGGTGCTGAGTGCAGGGGAAACTGGATAGAGGCCATCCAGGGCAGAAAGCCCAAGAATTTGGGTTGTGGAAAGGCTGGAAGAGGAAATGGAGATGAGGAAGGATTTGGGGTTTTCAGATGGGAGAGACCTGGGCAATTAATTGCTGGTGGAAAGACTCCTGTGGAGGGAGGGGTCGAAAAGACAGGGGAGGAGAGAATAAACCATAATGCAGGTTCCTGAAAGAATGTCATTAGGTTCCAGGGGTTCCAGCCCAGCAGGAGGGGTACGGGCACCTGAGATTTGCCTTCTGGATGGGGCTGTTGTGGGGGCCCCTGGGCAAGAGAGTGGAGGTTGCACAGGGTGGAGAAGGGAGAAGGGAAAAGAGGAGGGCTCCATGAGGCCTAAATCTTCCATGTCAGCATCAGTTCCTAGCCAAGGGTCTGGACTGTCTCCCTGAGCCTTGTAAGCAACACATCTCAGAGCTCCTGCGTGGGTGCCAGGAGGCACTCTGGACAAAAGGGCCAAAGGAGGCAGACACACTGGGGGTCAGACTTCCTCTGTCTCATAGTCTACACCTGGCCCCTGGCCCCCTTCAGGATCCTCATCTAGATATTTTGCACCAGTCTACAGGCCAAGCTTGTGCTTTGGGGACTTCAGCCCCTTCAGCTGGTACCCAGGGACAACAGGGCTTACTGAGAGCAGGGACCCCATCCTGGGCTCTAGGTCACAGCTGCATCTCCTGGTCCAGGTTCTCTTCTCTCCCTGGCCCCAATAGGAGGGCCTAGTTCCTATCCCCCTGCTCTGTCCTTGCTACCATCCATTGTGACCCCATTGCTCATCCCACATCCTATACCGCCAGCCCTAAGGACTGCCCCCACCCCCACCCCAGAGCATCAGCCCTCACCCAAGCAGCCCAGAAAGGAAACAGATTTAGGGCGAGGCCAGGAATGAGGACACTGGCAGGAGGAGGCATCCTTGAGGGGATGTTAGGAGCACCACCAGCACTAGGCACCCCTGGAAGGAATCACCCATGCCCCCTTCAGGCTGAGGAGGCCACTGGGTGTGCCTGGGGAGGAAGATGTGGGAGATGGTACTCACTTCTTGCCCAGCTGCCGGGCCACATCACAGCGTTGGAAGCCCTCAAGGTGATAGAGGCGGCGTGCCAGCCGGCGAGCAGCTTCACTGACCCCCTGGCACCCGTTGGCCAGCGGATCTGTGCTACCAGGCTCCAGCCCCTCCGAGCTGCTCAGCTCTGAGTCTGAATCTGACAGGCCATCTTTCAGGCTGGCGTCACTATAGATGGAAGGTGGCGTGGAAAGGTGTAGGATCAGAGGCCCAAAGTCAGAGGCCCTGGGGAAGGCTCGGGGTCTCCCCAGGCCTCTGAAAACCCATGCAGGGACCAGAGCAGGGAAAAAAGCTCCTCTACAACAGGAGGGAATCAAGTCAGACTTTCAGAAGAGCCCCTCAAGTGAAATCCCAGCTCTGCTCCCTGACCTCATACGAGCTGAGAAGATTTGGAAGAGCAGAATGGAAACTAAGACCTGAGGTGTAAAGTCTGGGTGCAAGGCAATGCCAGATAGAGCTTGTCAACTCTGGACACTAGGTTTCCCAAACTGGTTTCTCCTCTTCTGGGTCTCAGTTTCCCCACCTGCTCAATGATTCTCCCAGCTCCCAGCCTCCAGCCTGGGCCCCACCTCACCTGGCAGAGTTCAGCAACTTGTCTGTGTCCTCATCGTCATCATCCTCGTCCCCACCTGGGCTCTGGGGTCCATCTTCATGGAATCCATTGGGCACAGCCGTGAGAGACAGGTGGCTCAAGACGTTTTCCGAGCGGCTGCTGGAGATGGAGCGCCGCAGGGGGCTTCCCAGCTCCCCATCACCACCCACTGCCCCCATGTCCCCCTCACACCCCATGTCCCCAATGCCCAACCCAGCCCCTGGCTCAGGGCTATCACGGGCCCGCTGTTGGATGAGCGGTGTGAGAGGGGCTTCAAAGCTGACACAGCTGTCACTCTCGTCCGTGAGGCTCAGCACATCTAGGGAGTCGAGGCTGCTGTACTGGGTGCCCCGCAGCAGCTCTGACTCCAGAATCTTCTCAAATGTGGCACTGAAGCCATCCCGCACGTCTGGCTCCCCAGGACCTCCCAGCCTGTGGGATGCAAGGAGCCAATCACCACCCCGCCAAGTTGTCTCCCATAAAGGTGCTGGTGACTGCACCAATATGTGTCTGGAAGCTTGCTGGGGGCAGAGAGCAGGTATGAATTGTGTCCTTTGGGTGGTGCCTGTGGCTCAAAAGGGTAGGGCACCAGTCCCAAATGCCGGAGGTGGCGGGTTCAAACCCTGCCCTGGCCATAAATAAATAAATAAATAAATGTGTCCTGTTTATTTATTCTTTCAGCCAGTACTATTTATTCCTTCAGCCAGTACTTACTGGGCATGAAGGAATGTGAGGTGCCAGGGAGGAGGCCACCTGGTGTGGGCCTGCCTCCAGTCCTGTGCCAGATACTGGACTAAGGATAGAGTGGTAAAAGGAACAGGCATGGTCTCTGTCCTCTATAGTGCCCAGCACAGAGCCTGACCCACAGTAAACATCAAATATCAGTCCAAATGAATAACTGTGAGGCCACTTCCCTCAGCCTACTCCCTCTGGGCACCCAAAGCACAGCGGACATCTCCTATCACAGCTAATATCACACTGGGCCATAACTTTGCAATTCCTACCACCAGGGAGGTTCTTAGCTCAGCCAACTGCACTTTACCTCTCAAGTCCTGCCTCAATGTCTCCTCCTCGGGCCAAGAGAAGCAGGCCCACACCATGTAGCCTCCTCCCTGGGACATCACTTCATCTCCTCTCTGGCCCTTATCAGCATATACCACTCTGTTTGAATAAATACTATTTATCATATGCTCTCTAGCCCCAGAACAAAAGCTTTGTAAGGCTGGGTAGCACTCAGCACAGAGTAAGTGCTCAGTAAATCTTGCTAAATGATGCGCAAGGTAATGAACATATGCCCCACAAGCCACCCACACTTCCAAAGCCCTTGCAGAACCCACAGTGGACTTTGCATCAGCTATTTCCTCTGCCCAGAGTGCTTTTCACTAAGCTTAAGCTCCTCCCCTTTTTTTTGGAGACAGAGTCCCACTATCATTTTCAAGGAAGCAAAGCCCTCCCTCCCTCCACATCAGCCTCCCTCCTGAGGATCTGGCTACACCCTGCTTTTTCCCCAGCATCTGATGCCTAGGGAAAGACTGGGAAGTACCCCTTCCCCTCAAATACCCTACTAGGACCTCCAAATGCCTAAGATTCAGGCAAGTGTGCTTTCTAGAGAAGCCACCTCCCCTGCCCCAGCTCCAACAGGAGTTGAGACTACAGCCTCCATAAGCATTCTCCTGCCAAAGACTAAAATGGGGAGGAAGGAAGAATCCTGAAAGGTAGAAGTTGTCTCTACTGACCTCCAGGAGGAGGGGAGGGAAGAGAAGGATCACTGCCCTGGCCTCCAGGGCAAATACCCAAAGTCTGCCCAACAAAGACACCTCTGCCAGGCCTGTTCTAAGTTTTAGAGACATCCAAACAAGACAGCCTTGCCCTTGGGGAGCTTTCAGCCCATTGTCCGAGTCATGAATGGAACCCCCATCTCTTACCCCTTCAGGCAACTAAGCAGACCTGAGGGTAGCCTTTACAGGGACTTGAAGACAATCATCCCAATCTCCAAACCTCTATCTGCACCCACCCTCAGCCATTCTAAGTCAACATGCCACCGAAATTCTAGAACTGTGGGAGGCAGAGGCAGGATGATTTCTTGAGCTTAGGAGTTTGAGACTTGTCTGAGCAAGAGCAAGACCCCCGTCTCTACAAAAAGTAAAAAACCCTATCAGATGTCATGGTGCACACCTGTAGTCCCAGCTACTAGGAAGCTGAGGCAGCAAGATCCCGCAGCCCAGGATTCTAAGATTGCAATGAGCTATAATGATGCCATTGCACTCTACTCAGGACAAAAAAAGACAGTGTGCTCTAAGAAGGCCCAGCCCCTGCCCCAACCCTACTGCCATCCAGGGGGCTGCCCTAGACTCTCTCTGAATGGAAACTCTCTAATGGCCATGGCACACCCAGTGCAACAAGGACCGAAAGCCATGTACTCACGTTCCTACTCACACAGACCTAGAGACATCTATCCCTATATAGCATGTACACCCACAAATACCCAGACCAGGTGCACACCAACACCCCTACCCACAACAATACAACCACGCATACCCACACATACACACCAATGTGAAGGCCAGGCACTCACATGTATGCCCCCCCCCATACACTTACACATCTCCTGCACACCTGCCTACTCAGGCCAGGGCCTATGGTTGTGCACACTAAGACTTCTAGGTGCTAAAAATAAATAAATAAATAAATAAATAAATAAAAATTTTAAAAAACAAGACTTCTAAGTGCTTTCTTTTCTCAGCCCACCCTGGAGTCTTCTAGACATCCCCCTGCCACATCCCCACCCTCCTTGTCCAAATGGACTCCAGGGTGGGCTGAGAAAAGAAAGACCTCCAAGACTCCAGGTCTCTCCAGAGCCTGCTAAGAATAACAGAAATGGGGCTGTAATTCTCATAAGTAGGATGTAAGTGAGATTCCAGGTAGAACTTCCCAATGGCCTCAGGTGAGGGTAGTGAGAGGGATTAACCCACAAAGCCTTCCTGGAGTCAGTTGCAAGATTGGGAGATTCTCATCTCCAGGAAGCAGAGGAATGAATAGGATGACCTTTCACATCACGGCCTTTTAAAAGGACTCAAATGCCCAGCCTGGGATAGAGGGAGTGTAGCACTTCAACCCACATAGAAATGGCCCATGACAGTCTGGGAGCTGAGGGTTGGGGAGCACAAGTCTCCTGGCCTTTGAATTCCTTCTCATGGCTCTAGCCTCCCAAAACACTCTGAAGTTGAGCAAAATAGAAACATGAAATCCTACATAATGTATGAGAAAAATGAAACCCAGAAAGATTAAGTGGCTAGGCCCAGGTCACATGGCAATGGAGCAGTCATGACCCCCATCCCAAGATACCAGCTTACCCCAGCTGAGGGTCTTCAGTGTCCGAACAGAGGCTCCTGGGGGTATCATCCCCCTCTGCCAGCTCACCCGTCCTCCAAGGCCTGGATTCTGTTGAATCTTCCAGAATGCTCAAGTCTGGTCCCAGGGCTAGGCCATTGGTAAGAGAGAGGCCAAGGCTGAGGCCATGGAGAGCCACATCCAGGTTCTTTGTGGGCTCTTCAGCACATGCCAGCATGCCCCTTTGCTCGTGCCCCAGGCTCCCAAGGCTGCTTCCCAGGCCCTCATCAGCTGCTGTTCTACTCTGGACCCCAGGCTCCTCATCTGGGTCCAAGTTGGGGTCCCAGGCAGTACTGCCTTCATCAGGCAGGGCAGAGGGAAGTTTATCCTCATCCATGGCAGCCACTGCTTCCACCCCTTCCTGGCTGCTCCTAGGACTCCACTAGACCTGGCAGCAAAGAGATGAAGAGGTCAGTCAGCCAGAGCAGGAGCTGGGGATCTTGAAACCCAGCAGAACCAGCACTGGAGCAGCCTGTCTAGAAAGCAGGATGGCCAAGATGATCTCCTTAGATACTTCTGGCTGGGGTCTGGGTTCCAGCCCCTCACCACCCTGCCAGACAAGCCCCCCAGCTTCCCCTGACCCAAGCCAGCCCCTTATGCCCAGTCCCTGCTTTCCCTATTAACTCTTGAATCTCTGTTGTGCCTTCCAGAATGCACCAAAGCCCTCTGGGGAAGATCCAGGCAGGGAGGAACTGGAGAAGGATCCAGCACCCTCTCCAGGCCCCCTCCATTCTCACTGGTGAGTGATGGAGAGAATCGCAGGCTACCAGTAGCCTGCCCACTAGCCTCTTCACATGTTCTCTCACCCTGTCTCCAGGAGCCAGAGTTGAGTGAATCTTTGTTGTTAATGAAGGGAACTGGGCTTGGGGCTGCCTTTAAGGGGGAGTTAAGAGAGAAGGCAAGGAAGTCAACAGAAAAGCAGCTTTATCAGAGCAGGGGCCACCCCAGAGAAGCCAAAGAGAAGCCTGCAGTCGGAGACAGCTGTCAGGAGGCCCAGCATGCAGCGCTGTCCAGGGTGCTGGGCAGGGAGGCTCACAGAAAACCCAGGCTACCTTGGCCACACCCAGCACCCAGTGCCCTGGCTGTGCCAGGAGGAAGGAAAAGGCTCGGGGTTCTCCTCTACTCTTAGGTCCCAACTGGAGCTCACTTAGCCTTAGGAGGGGCTCACAAGGAAGCCACCAAGGGGCACTCTGTGGAGAGCACTGGCAGGAGAGTCAGGATATGCTCTGCCCAAACCACTGTGGGACCATGTGTGTGTCCAGGCCATGAGTTCTCACTGCCCTGCCCAAGCCAGCCCCACTCCCCTCTGGGCCTGTTTCTCTTCTGTAAAATGAAGAGACCCACTTTATCCATCATCTATACCCACCCCTGTTTAAAATGGATCAGGACCAGCCCACATTTCCCAGAGGCTTCCTGCCCAATCTAATCCCAGATGGGGAGGGCGGATGTAATGTGAAGTGGGTTGTATTCTGGCTTGTCTCCTCCCCTCTTTGCCCCGGCCCCTGTTTCTGCCAGGGGGACACAGACCAGCTCTTCCAGGTGCCCTGGACAGCTGTGAATAAGTAGGAATCCAGAACATTCCTCCCAGTTCTGGTTGAGCCACTTTTTTCCTTCCCCTCTTTTAGCTTTGAACGCCCCTAAAATCCCGCTCTCCTCTGGAGGGGGAATGCTGGGGGCTCAGAAGAGGCTGCCGGAAGAAGACTGCTCAGCCTCTAGGCTGCAGCAGTACAAGCTGCAGGTGCTGCCACTGGCATTTAAGTGAGTCCCAAACTTCCTACTTGCACCTGGTCATAAGTATTGCCAGGATTTGTTAAAATACAGATTATTAGGCCCAACACCAGATCTCTAGAATCTACAGAAAAGGGCTGGTTATGCTAAGAAAGAGGCAGGTGTGGAAACACTGAGTTAGACTCCAGGAGGAACTTCTACTAAAAGGTGATCCTGGAAAGGAGGGTAAGTTTACTTCTTTGGGAATTCCAGGCCCTCGAGGGGAGGTTGTCCACCACAGACCAGGTAAGATTCATTTAATCTGGGTTTTCAAACATGGAGTGGAATAGGGCAGGAAAGAAAGATCTGGAGCCCCTGTCCACTTTACCTGAGCATCACTTCTTAGAGTTTTGACTGCTGCATGAGAGTAAGATTTTACCTAACAAGAAAAAAGCCCACAGTTTTGTATTTTTTTTTTTAATCTGAAGAGCTAGACTTTAGAATTTCTGAGTCCTGATCCTAGGACACCAAGGACCCCTAGGGGTTCAGCACTGAGTGAGGGATTCTTTCTGGTCTGCCCTAAATCCCTGCTGCTGCTGTTGCTATTTCAATCTGTTCCCTCCGGTTGTGTACTCAGAAGTTGGAGAACAAGAGGTCACCTCCTCAACTGAGACTCCTTGGTGGGGGAGGGACATTTAGAAAGGGAAGAGGGGGGACTTTAAGCCTGCTGCCGGAGTTCTAGCGCTCTGACCTGCTTTCTAGCTCAGGGGCTTGGGCACAAAGTTTCAAATGGACTCTGCCAGAATGCGTCAAGTTCCCACAGCCATGTCTAGAGGCTGAGCCTGGCAGGGTGGGGCATCCTCCCTGGGTCAGAATTCTGCCTGATCCCCCAGTGAAGCCTGAGATTTGAGATGGTGCCATTTAATATGGAATGTTTCCCTTGATGCTCACTCTACACCAGTCCCAAAACCAGGGTTGTGAATAAACCAAAGACCTCTTGGGAGACCCCTCCACCACCACTCCAACCTTCAGCAGCTCCCTCAGGCTAGCTCCAGCCCTACCTGCCCTGCCATGTCCTCCTACAGCGGGGAGTAAGATGGTGGCTCTGCCAACACTAGGTACTGGCCCTACCTTGGTTTCTGGGCTGGGCAAACAAGGGGCAGCATTGAGCTCTACTCTGGGCAGGAGGCCCAGAGTCCCTGACTGGGCCAAGGGCCAGCTGAATTCAGCAATAGCTGAACCAAGACCCTTTCTCTTGCCGAGTCCAAGGGAGGGGTACATAGACGGAAAGATTTAGGACAGAGGAATAAAACAATGCCCCAATACTCACTCTAGGTGCACTGGGACTCATCATTGACCCCTCTGGCCTTTGTGTACCCATCTATAGAATGGGAGCATCACCTCTGTCCTCCTCCCCCTGGGGCTGGTGGGACATTTAAGGTCATGGATGCTGACAGAGCTGAGATCTGAGGAAGGGCAAACTTGCTACAGAGGTCAAGGATGAAAGGCCCTAATGTTCCACTTTTCCCACTATCATATTTAACAAATGGTGAGACTGAGGCAGAGAACCCAGAAAGGTTTTGCCTGAGCTCACACAGTAAGTAGCTGTCTCGGGAACCCAGGAGTAGCCTCCCTCTGCAGCTAGATGAGCTGGAGATGCAGGATGATCCAGGCTCCCCAGTCAGGCCCTCCCATTAGATCTAGGCCCAAATCCCCAACCAGGAGAGTTGGACTAAAGCAGTGACCTTACTTACCTGCTGACAATAGAGAAGGAAAGGGGAGCAGTAGGGTCATAGGACTCTCATCCCAAGGAGATGCCTGCAAATGACAGGTTGCCAGAGGCCAAGATCTCCCACAGCTTCTCTCAGCCTGATTCAGACCCCTCCCCTGGCAGAGGAGGGCCATGGGCTCAGCTGCCTCTTTTTGGCACTAGCTGAAATGGGGACCATGGTGATAGTGGATCCCTGGCTGGGCCAGAGCTGACTACTGAGCCAAGCACGTTCTGGGTCTCGGCAGCTCCTGAGACAACCCTCCCCCCTCATCCTGTGGCAGCTGGAGTGAGCTGTGAAAACACAAATTACATGATCTCCCTCCCTCACTCATGACCCTATAACAATTCCCACTGCCCTCAGAGTAGAATCAGTCTCCCTAGCATGGCCTAAAAAGGCCCTGCCTGCAGAGCTTGTTCTGCTGCCCTCTCCCCCCTCCCCCCTTCAGCCACACTGGCCTTCTTTCTGCTCCCTGAGCTCATTGCCACCTCAGGGCCTTTGCACCAGCTGTACCCTTGTCCTAGAATGCTCTTTCCTTAGATCTTTAAAAGACTGCCTCTTCTGCCATTTGAGACTGCTAAGTCTTCAGAAAGGCCCTCTCTGATCACCAGCACTCTACCCCACTCCTCTACAGAGCATCACAGCACCAAGTAGAAGTAAAATTCTCTTTTCTGTTTGTATACTTAGTTTTTGCATCTCCCTCACTAGGATGTAAGTTCAGTGTGGGTGGGGACTATGTAATGTTCATGCTGCCTCCCCAGAGCTTAGTTCAATGGCTGGCACACAGTGGGCACTTTCAAATATCCACTGAATGCACAACCTAGAGACTATCGTCATCCCCATTTTTGGCAAAGGTTAAAGGAGGTTGAGGAACATCAGAGTCACAAAGCTGGAAAGCAGCAAGGCCTATATTCTGCTTGGAATGCTAGGTTATCATAGGGATAATCTTATAGTCCCCTCCTTCCTTGAATCCAAGCAGGGGGCTATGGGAAGTCTAAGAACAGGGCTGGAGGTGGGGGCCTAGCAGGAAGGGATCCAAGGGCCACATGCCCTATGTGATACAGGGGTGAGTGCATGGATGCAGACACCTGTGAGCAAGCATTGGATGAAGGCCTATACATACTCAGATGGATGCACACATGCACACAGATGCATGCACACTCACTCAGATGCATGCACTCACACAATCACACACCCTAAGACACATGCATGCACACTCAGACACATGCACACACATGCACACTCACACATGCACACACTCAGACACATGAACACATTCACTCAGATGCATGCACATTCACACACTCAGATACATCACACACGCACACTCAGATGTATGCACACACACATTCAGATGCATGCACTCAACTCAGACACATGCACATACTCACACATGCATGCATTCAAACACCTGCATGCATGCACATTCAGACACACACTCAGACACATGTATACTCGCACACTCAAATGCATGCACACATCACACTCAGACACATGCACACACACTCAGACACTTGCACATACACACACTCATACACACATATTCACTCAGATGCATGCACACTCAGACATATGCACACTTGCACACTCAGATACACGCATACACATGCATACTCAGATGCAGGCACACACACACTCAGACACATGCATATACTCAGACACGCGTAAACACACAGACAAGGAATGGAGCAGCTGCTCCTGAGGCTCTCTGCCAGGGTGGTGAAGTGGAGATGAGGAGCCTGCAGGCTTAGGGGCAAGATTAAGAGCAGCTAGACCTACATCATCCAGCATCCAGGGCCAAAACCACTCTGCTTTGGGAGAAGCTGTGGACAAAGAAAGCACAACCCAGAGCTTCAAGCTGGGGCAGAGGGCATGG